TGAATTCGTCTGCTTAAAACCTGAACAATTGAAGGTTTGTTTGGCTCCAGGGCTTCTTCTTCCTTCCGATTTCGTATCGGCTAAATACCTCATTATGACTTCATGAATTTACAGCACTGATTAAAGAAACTTGGTTGAATGAACACATTTTATCGCTTCACGCTACTGCAGAAGCTACATTGGTTCAGTATTATTAAATCATTTGTTCAATGAGATAAAAAGACGTCTTTACCACCAGGTAAACTAAAAACAGCTGCGGGCAAAGGCATTCTTTGATTGACAGACTTTTTGCGTGGTTTTCTGCCAATAACTGATATTTTATGTGACTTCTGAGAAGTTATGATACTATCAATCGAATCAGAAAATTGTTTTGTAACTCAAAATGCTGTTAATTCAAGAATAAAAAGATTATTTTCAATATGTGTATTATTGGGTCTGTGTATTCTTTGTATTCTTGGGTCTTAATGTTTTAAAATAACAAGTTTTCTCAATACTACTACTACTACTACCCCCTCCCCGCATTATCTTCATATCTTGTTCTATCTTTGCAGGAATATTTTTCAAACGAGGACCTGTCCACTGTCCACTATCGCGCGAGGGAGCCTGCAGGTTCAGCACTACCCTCCGGCGGACACCTCTACACTGTTCAGTGCGATAGATGATTCACCAGTTCTGGCATTTTAACATCCAAGGAGATAAGATATTACCCCCCCCCCCAGCCCCCCCAAAACAAAATCATTATGATAAATTTTAAATGTCAGTAGCCTTTTCTGAGCCAATTCTGGTCACCGCTACGGAAGCTTATAGCAAGAGACTAAAACTATGCTTTTACATGCGACTTCCGTTTTCTTGTTCCCTGCATTCTTCTGCATTTCAGCTTTACCGGAATGCTTTATTAGCCCGGCCCAGCACTCACCAACCCGATATTCACGGATTATTGTGCAACTAACATTATTGCATTAAATCAGTAGTTTCTACATTTTTGTGTTTCTAAACTCTGTACCGTGCCTGGAACCATGAGGGGTGGGGCCCGGGACGGGGAGGGGGACACCCCTCTGCACAGAAACTTGAGTTTTTAGTGGTGGTCTTTCGAACTATGGGCGGGTTGTCTACCTAAGGCGCACAAGCTAAAGTAACAGGAAAAGAACTCTGCTGTAGTGGGTTGGCTCCATGATATTTACACAGAGCAAGTGAAAGGGGAGTCTACCCGACCAATCCAAACCAATTCCAGCCTGGATTTTGACGGGGGATGATTAAAATTGTCAGGGAAGAACCAAGGCACCACAAAAACCATTATAAACTGAACTTTGATGCACACCAAAGGGAGCTTCTCATAGCGTCTGAACAGAGACAAATTGGACCAGCTTTTGTTACTTTCATGTCAACTCATCTGTACTTTCAGGTAAAAATGACTCCATGGACTTCTATGCTCATGTCAAGAACATTTCTGGGCCGAGTTCCTGCAATCATATTAAACGGTACTTTTAGCGCTCAT